TCTCTTTTGACTTCCTCATTAACCCAAATGTTATTCAGTAGCATATTGCTGAGTCACCATGAATATGAGGATTTTCTGGCTTTCTTTTATTGTTGCTTTCTAGTTTGACACCATCAGGAAAGATACTTAATATGATTTATGAGATTTATTGACACGTGTTTTGTGACCCAATATGTGATCAATCCATAAGAATATTATAGATGCACTTGAGAAGAATGTGTACTTAGTGTTTTGGGGGTGGAATGCCCTGCAACTGTCTATTGAGTCCATCTGGTCTAACTCAGCATTTATGGTTGATGTTTCCTTATTGATTTTCTGTCTAGTTCATCTGTCCATTGATATAAGTGGAGTATTGAGTCCCCACTACTATTGTGTTACTGTTGATATTTGTTTTTAGGTTTATTAATACTTGCTTTATACATTTTGATGCACTTTCATTTGGCACATATACTTTGATGAGTATTATGTCTTCCTGATATAGTTATCCCTTCCTCTTTATATAATGCCCATTCCTCTCTCTTGCTAACATTTTTAGCTGAAAGTTTATTTTATCAGATACAAGTATTTCTGTCCTTGCCTTTTAAAGTTACCATTTGCTTGTAAGATTTCTTTTCAAACCTTTTACTTTGAACCTATGTTTATCTTTGGAAGTCAGATGGGTCTTCTAAGGCAACAAAAGATCATATTTTGATTTGTAATCCAACCAGTCATTCTGTGCCTTTTGATTGATGAGTGCAAAATATTGACATTTAGGGAAATTATTGATATATAAGTATTTATTGCAATGTTTTTTCTGGGTGCTTTTTCAGTTCTATGTTCTTTCCTTCTGTTCTCTTCCTTTGTATTATGAAAATTACCTTTTGGCAGTGTGAGTATTCCATTTTTATCTTCTTTTATATTGTTTCTTCTAGGTATTGTTCTGAGGATTCTAGGGTTCTATAATTACAACCTATCTTAAATCAGAAGCAAATTAATCTAGAACACCTTACACCTGTCCTAATTTTTATTCTGTTGTCCCCCCACCCTGACAACAGTTTGTATTTTTCACTTTCTAGCATCCCTTTTTCATTTCTTATAAGACAAGTTTGGAGAAAATGAATTCCTTCAATAATTGTTTGCCTGTAAAGCCCTTTATCAATCCTGCGATTCTGAGTGTTATCTGGGTGGAGGATTCTTGTTTGTAGATCTTTTCCTTTCAGCATGTTGAAAATCTGTCATTCTCTCTGATCTATAATATTTCTGCTGAGAATTCTGCTGAGAAATCTGCTGATGGTCATAGTCTTATTGGAGTTCCCTTATATGTGACTCTTTGCTTTTCTTTAGCTGCTTTGTAATTCTCTATTTTTTTTTTCATTTTAATTATAGTGTTATTAATGTACATCTGTTTGGGTTTATTTTGTTTGGGACTCCTTGAGCTTCCTGAGCGTCTGTTTCCTTCTCAAGTTGGGTGAAGCTCTCGTCTATTATTTCTTAAAATAGGATTTCTGGGGCCTCCCCGGTGGTGCAGCATTTGAGCGCTGGGTTGCGAAGCTGCCCACAGCCTCTGCGGCGCCAGTTCAATCCCTGGCTGCTCCCTGGCCACAGGAGGAGGGTCCCACATGGCGCACAGACCTCTCCTGCTGCCCGCTTCTCCCCTCAGCAGTGTACTTTGGTCTTTCTGCCTGCTCTGCTCCCTGCTCTGGCTCTGGTGAATTCTCTCACCCTCCCGTGCTTCTGACTGTACCCAGTGCTTATATAAATAAGTAAATAAATCTTTAAAAAAAAATAGGATTTCTGCTCCCTTCTTTCTCCTCTGGGACTCTTGTGATCGAATATTTTCTTCTTGATGCTCTATAAGTCTCTTATGTTGCCTCCATTTTCTTAGTTTTGTTCTCTTTTTGTATATTTCCACTACCCTATTCAATCCTTGACATCCCTGAGTCTAATAGTGGTCCCTCTGTTACATTTTTAATTTCAACTACTGGAATCTTTCTCTCTCTCTTTTTTTTTTGGAGATTTATTTATTTATGCATACAAGAACTGGGGTACAGGCCAGAGGTGTGGGGGGGGGGGTGAGAAGACTCACCAGAGACAGAGTGGTGAGCAGAACAGGTAGACTGACTGAAATACACTGCTGAGGAGAGCAGCTGGCGAGAAAGGAGAGGTCTGCTGCACCATGTGGGTTGCTCCCTGGCCGGGTATTGAACTCGTGCTGCAGTTGCTGCAGATAGCTTCATAGGCTGCATCTTAACCCCTTGCACCACCAGGGAGCCCCTGGAATCTTTCTATTTTTGACTTCTATATGAAATCTTTCATATTTTCTTTGTACTTGTTTTATTTCTTATTTTGTTCATCCATTGTTCTCCTAATATTAGTTGGCAAAATTAAGATGATTGCTCTGAAGTCTTCTTCTGGTAGTTTGGTTAATTTGTTGTATTATAGATTTTCCTGTTGTATTATGGATTTTTCCTTTCGATCCATTAACTGGAGCAAATTCTTTTGCCACCTCAGCTTGCCTGGTTGCAGGAGCCCAGGGAAGCCCTGAGTGTCTGGGTGGGGGAGGAAAGGTTTCCTTTTCAATAGCCAAGCTACCCACAGCCCCACGTGTATCAACTCCATGCCCTCCCAGCAGCTAGTGTTCTTATGGGGAGGGAGGAATGTGTTGTTCACAGGTCTGCAGTGATCTAGGAACCAAGGAGAACCCCAGGAGTCTTTGTGGGGGAGGGGTGCCTTTTGGTACTGCCTAACTAGCCACCAGCAGCCTCAAATGTGTCAAAGTCATCATTGCCCAGCAGTCAGTGTTCTTTTTAATAGGCAGTGTTTGCCTATCTTCAGTGGACTAGGCACTCAGTGAAACCTCAGATATACAGGTAGGGAGTAGGTTTTCAGAATTCCAAGATAGCTGCCAGCAGCCCCAGGTTTATCAGCTCCATGCCTGGCAGTGCTAGACCAGTTCTAATAGGCTCAGCGCCAAGGGGAAATAGGGCAGATTCTGTAGCTTGTAGAAGTTGAGACTTGGCACACTGGGAGCAAGCTTACTTGCTTCTCCTAGGGGCAGAAGTTAAGGACTTTCACACCACATTAAACTGTGAGAAATCACAGAGATTCAGTATCAGATCACAGCCTCTGCTTTCTAAAGGTGCAGTTAACAAGGGGGAAAATGTTAGTCTACTAAATCCTATAAAAAAGAAAAGAAACCCTGTTTATTAAAATGAGTATCTTATCAAAATAAATATAAGTATAATCTTTTACAGAGTGTTAATACATTTCCTGGACTTTACTATAAGAATAAAATAAGCATATCCCAAATTAATATGTAACAGCTTTATAAAATTTGGTCACATTTATTCCCCTTTGTTCAGTTATTTCAGTAGACAGTTCCTTCAATTTCTATTCCTCACCTACTAATTCTTTGCTTTCCTGATCATCAAGCATACAATGATGCACTCCAGAACTTCAGTCATTTATGATATTATGCTTTGATCAGGTGTGTTTCTGTACACCGTGGTTTTCTACACTTTCCCCCTATACTATAAATTTTCATAGAGTAGCAGAGGCTGTTATTTACTAATGAAATTTTACAATCATAAATAAGCAACAAACTCTTGCATAAAAATTATAATTACTCAAATCAAATAAAGCAATCAAACAGTCCAATAGGACATGTATCTCAAAAACTTTAGTAGTCACATTACTATGAAGCTCATTCTAAGTTTGTCTACTCACTAGGCTCATTAGCTTTCTGACTTCCAAAGCATGAACAAATATTTGCTTAACTTATTTATCTTAACATATTTATCTAAATCCCTTGAGAAGAGGACTGCTTGTCTTTCATATTATTCTTTTTCAGCCCAATGCCTCTGTGGGAATCTGAGAAGAAAACATAACTCATGTTAAATGATGACCTTTGATTTTAGAAATGGAACTCTTTATAGTATTCAACAGTAGCAAATTTTATAGGGTTAGTTTCAGAAGCCAACTTTTAATTCAGGCAAGAAGTACTACTTTGGTATTACCTTTCAGGGAATACGCATCCCTTTCAGGTCTGGCCATAGAGGAAGACGGCCGCCGTGCACTGGGCCAAGGTGAAAGTGGATGGCGGCGAGGCGAAACTGAGCAAAAATGAGCTAAAGAGACGCTTGAAAGCTGAGAAGAAAGTAGCAGAGAAAGAAGCCAAGCAGAAGGAGCTCAGTGAGAAGCAACTAAGTCAAGCTGCAAACGCTGCCGCCAACCACACCTCTGACAATGGAGTGGCTGCTGAGAAAGAGAGCCTGGACCCAAATCAATACTACAAGATGCATAGTCAAGAAGTCCACCAACTGAAAGTCAATGGGGAAGACCCGTACCCACACAAATTCCATGTAGATATCTTGCTTACTCAGTCCCTCCAGGAATACAATCACCTGCAACCTGGAGATCACCTGACTGACATCACCTTAAAAGTGGCAGGTGGAATCCATGCCTAAAGAGCTTCTGGAGGAAAGCTCATCTTCTATGACCTTCGAGGAGAGGAGGTCAAGTTGCAAGTCATGGCCAATTCCAGGAATTATAAATCAGAGGAAGAATTTGTTCGTATCAATAACAAACTGCGGCAGGGAGACATAATTGGAGTTCAGGGACTCCTGGGAAAATCAAGAAGGGTGAGCTGAGCATCACTCCCTATGAGATCACGCTGCTGTCTCCTTGCTTGCATATGTTACCTTATCTTCACTTTGGCCTCAAAGACAAGGAGACACAGTATTGTCAGAGATACTTGGATCTGATCCTGAATGACGTTGTGAGGCAGAAATTTATCATCCGCTCTAAGGTCATCACATTTATAAGAAGTTTCTTGGATGAGTTGGTTTATTTGGGAACAAAGCATGAAAAGGAACCCTTTATTCCTCTTCCCTCTCTGGTGGGTGAACGGAAGTGAACCACCACAGCAAAGGGAGAGCAACTCACAAGAATCCCTTGCAGTCCTTGAGCATCCACAGAAATGCAGAGATGCCTGAGTTTTACAACTTGCCATTGTGATTTTTCTAGCCAGACGTGCCGGCGCTGGGACTTTCAGATGACCTGGGAGCTGCTACGTTCTCCTTCTTGTCTTCTGGTTTCATGGCAGGAAACAGAAGTACTTCCTTTATGTCAGTGGAGTCTGTGAGAAATATGGTGAGGCAGTTGATGCCCATGCCCCAGCCAGCTGTGGGGGGCAGCCCGTATTCCAGGGCAGTGCAGAAGGTTTCATCTATGACCATGGCCTCATCATTGCCAGCAGCCTTGGCCTTGGCTTGTTCTTCAAAACGCTAGCATTGCTGCACTGGGTCATTCAGCTCAGTGTAGGCATCACCTATTTCCTTCTTCATGACAAACAGCTCAAACCTCTTGGTCAAACCCTCTTTAGAATGGTGCCATTTGGCCAACGGGCTCATTATCTGAGGGTGATCACAGATAAACGTAGGATTGATGCAATTCACTTCCAGGAACTCCCCGATGAGCTTATCAAGGAGTCTGGCTGTGGTGCGAGGTGGTGAGCATTCAACACCTTTTGCAACACAGATATTATCAAGAATTTTTCAGAGTTTCTTCAGTTTCAAAAAGGCGTGTTTCTGGCAGTTTCACACCCAGTGCTTTCACAAGCTCTTCTACCATGCTGTTTCTCCAGAAGGGTAGGGTAAAGTCAATGGCTGGGCCTTCTGGGCCATCTGGGTTGTAGGTGACCTTGTAACAACCTGTAATGTGCTTCACCATACCTGAGATCATCTTCTCTGTGATTTCCATGACATCGTGATAGTCTGCATAGGCCATGTAGAATTCACAGGTGGTGAACTCAGGATTGTGAGTCAAATCAATTCCTTCATTCTGCAACAGGCATCCAATTTCATGAAACTGGTCGATGCCACAACCACCAGCATCTCATGGTAGAGCTCTAGGGCAATTCTCATGTACAAATTCATATCCAGCTCATTGTGGTTGGTGATGAAAGGCTTGGCCACAGCTGTCAGTGAAATTACACATGCAAGTCTCTGCACACCAGTGAGAATACCCTTAAAGTCATACGTGACACAAAGGAGTTGGCATCAAGTACACCTAATTTAACGTAGCTTATGACACCTTGCCTAGCCACACCCCCACGGGATATAGCAGTGATAAGAATTAAACATGAACAAAAGTTTGACTAAGCTATACTGACACAGGGCTGGTAAATTTTGTGCCAGCCACTGCAGTCATACGATTAACCCAAGTTAATACACATATGGCGTAAAGAGTATTAAAGACTATAGCAACAAAATAAAAGCCAAGACTTAACTAAGATGTAAAAAACTACAGTTAAAGTAAAAACAAACTATGAAAGTGGCTTTAATACATTCTGATTACACTATACCTAAGACCCAAACTGGTATTAGATACCCCACTATGCTTAGCCCTAAACCAAGACAATCCAGTTAACAAGATTGTTCGCCAGAGAACTACTAGCAAGAGCTTAAAACTCAAAGGACTTGGCAATGCTTTATATTCCTCTAGAGGACCCTGTTCTGTAATCGATAAACCCCTATAAACCTCACCAACCTTTGCTAATTCAGCCTATATACCGCCATCTTCAGCAAACCCTTAAAAGGAACCATAGTAAGCACAAGTATATACATAAAACATTAGGTCAAGGTGTAGTTAATGAGTTGGGAAGAAATGGGCTACATTTTCTATTTCTAGAACACATATAAATGAAAACCTTTATGAAATGAAAGGTTAAAGGAGGATTTAGTAGTAAATTAAGAATAGAGCGCTTAATTGAATCAGGCCATGAAGCACGCACACACCACCCATCACCCTCCTCAAGTACCAATGCCAACTATTTATAAATAATTCCCAGGTAATAAGTACAGGAGGAGACAATTTGTAACAAGGTAAGCATACTGGAAAGTGTCCTTGGATTAACCAAAGTGTAGCTTAAACAAAAGCACCTGGCTTACACCCAGAAGATTTCATTAAAATGACCACTTTGAACTAAAGCTAGCCCAACTAATAAATTACAATACAACACACAAACATAAAACAAAACATTTATAAAAATTAAAGTATAAGAGACTGAAGTATTTTTTTTTAAAATAATAAATTTTATTTTTATATTCCCCATACAATTGCAACCCCCCATTCTGACCCCAATCCCTCCCCTCCTGCCCCCACCCCCAAAAAAGTGTCTCTGGTTCATAGTTTTTTGTTGATTTTGATTTTCACTTTCTTATAGTTATTCATTTTCCTGGTCCCTTATTTAAGTTTTCTAGATTCCTGCTATGAGTGAGACCATCCGATATTTTTCTTTTTCTTTCTGGCTTATTTCGCTGAGCATGATCCCTTCCAGGGCCATCCATGTTGCTGCAAATTGCATGTGTTTATCTTTTTTGAATGCTGAGTAATATTCCATGGTGTATATGTACCACATCTTCTTGATCCAGTCATCTATTTCTGGGCATTTGGGCTGTTTCCAAAGCTTAGCTATTGTAAACAGTGCTGCTATAAACATAGGGGTGCAGGTGCTCTTTGGAATTGATGTTTCTGTGTCCTTTGGGTAAATACCTAGGAGTGGAATTGCTGGATCATATGGGAGCTCTATGTTTAGTAGGTCCAGAAATCTCCACACAGCTCTCCATAGTGGTTGGACCAGTTTGCACTCCCACCAACAGTGCAGAAGAGTTCCTTTTTCTCCACACCCTCGCCAACATTTGTTGTTGCTAGTTTTTTTAATATGTGCCATTCTCACTGGTGTGAGATGGTATCTCATGGTAGTTTTGATTTGCATTTCCCTGATTACAAGTGATGTTGAACATTTTTTCATATGCCTGTTGGCCATTTGCATTTCCTCTTCAGAGAAGTTTCTTTTTAGCTCTTCTGCCCATTTTTGGACTGGATTATTTTCTTTGTTGTTGTTGAGTCTCATCAGCTCTTTGCAGGTTTTTGTGATCAGTCCTTTATCATTAGTGTTGGGTGCAAAAATGTTCTCCCAGTTGGTGGGGTTTCTCTTTGTTTTGGTTATTGTCTCTTTTGCTGTGCAGAAGCTCTTTAATTTGATGTAGTCCCAGCTGTTTATCTTCGCCTTCACTATCGCTGCTTTGGGTGATGTGTCTGTAAAGATGTCTTTGATATGCAAATCACGTAGTGTTTCGCCTATATTTCCTTCTATGTATTTTATGGTTTCAGGTCTTATGTCTAGTTCTTTAATCCATTTTGAGTTGATTTTTGTGTATGGTGTGAGGTAGTGGTCAAGCTTCATTCTTTTGCATGTAGCAACCCAGTTTTCCCAGCACCATTTATTGAACAAACTTTCTTTGCTCCATTGCATAGTCTTTGCTCCTTTGTCAAAGTATTTTTAAGGTGCTGTAGAAAAAGTACTGCAAGGGACCGAGTGAAAGAAAAATTGAAAGTAATGAATAGCAAAGCTTACCCCTTTTACCTTTTGCATAATGAGTTAACTAGAAAACCTTAGCAAAGAGAACTTAAGTTAAGTACCCCAAAACAAGACAAACTACCTGTGAGCAGTATATCAAAGTGAACTCCTGTATGTGGCAAAATAGTGAGAAGACTCTCAGGTAGAGGTGAAAAGCTTATAGAGCCTGGTGATAGCTGGTTGTCCAGAAAAGAATATAAGTTCAACTTTAATCTATACCAAAAAAAATCTTAAAATTTTTAATGTAAGATTAAATGTTAGCCTAAAGAGGTACAACCCTTTAGACATAGGATACAACCTTCAATGGAGAGTAAGTATAAAAAATCATCATAGTTGGCCAAAAAGCAGCTATCAATTAAGAAAGTGTTCAAGCTCAACAATAAAAACACTATAATTCCAACAATATAACTAAATACCAACAATATAACTAAATACCAAACTTCAACTGGACCAATCTGTATCAAAATAGAAAAAATACTGTTAATATGAGTAACAAGAATTATTTCTCCCTGCACAAACCTATATCAGATCGGATGCCCCACTGATAGTTAGCAAACTAATAATAATAACCTAAATATAAAACACTTATTACACAAATTGTTAGTCCAACACATATTTGCTACAACCAAAGGAAAGATTAAAATAAGTAAAAGGAACTCGGCAAACACAAACTCGGCCTGTTTACCAAAAACATCACCTCTGGCATTAATAGTATCAGAAGCACTGCCTGCCCAGTGACATAAGTTAAACGGCCGCGGTATCCTGACCATGCACAGGTAGCATAATCATTTGTTCTTTAATTAAGAACTTGTATGAATGGCCACGCGAGGGTTTAACTGTCTCTTACTTCCAATCAGTGAAATTGATCTTCCCATGAAGAGGCGGGAATAATAAAATAAGATGAGAAGACCCTATGGAGCTTTAATTAACTCAAGAAAGCAACATTATAATCCGATAGGCAACAACACAACTATAACTGAGTTAACAATTTCGGTTGGGGTGACCTTGGAACATAAAACAACCTCTGAGAGATTTAAGACCGACAAGTCAAAACCTGTAAAAAATCATAATTGATCCAATAAATTTTGATCAACGGAATAAGTTACCCTAGGGATAACAGCGCAATCATATTTAAGAGTCCATATTTAAGGGACCATAGGGTTTACGACCTCGATGTTGGATCAGGACATCCCAATGGTGCAAGCACTATTAATGGTCCGTTTGTTCAACGATTGGAGTCCTACGTGATCTGAGTTCAGACCAGAGTAATCCAGGTCACTTTCTATCTATTACATACTTCTCCCAGTACGAAAGGACAAGAGAAATAAGGCCAACCCTACATGAGAGCCTTAAAATTAATAGATGATTTCATCTTAATCTAGTAATTTATAACAAATTGCCCAAGAAAAGGGCTTCATTAGGGTGGCAAAGCCCAGTAATTGTGTAAAACTTAAAACTTTATATTCAGAGGTTCAATTCCTCTCCCTAACAATATGTACATAATTAATCTCCTAACACTAATTGTAGCAATCCTACTTGCTGTAGCATTCCTTACGCTAATCTAATGAAAAGTGCTAGGATACATACAACTACGAAAAGGCCCTAATATTGTAGGACCATACAGATTACTACAACCAATCGCTGACACTGTAAAACTATTCACTAAAGAACCATTATGACCACTAACCTCACCAATCTCCATGTTTATTATCGCCCCAATCCTAGCCCTAACATTAGCACTAACCATATGAATTCCACTACCAATACCATACCACATGAACTTAGCAATACTGTTTATATTAGCAGTATCAAGCCTAGCCATGTACTCCATTCTATGATCAGGTTGAACCTCCAACTCAAAATACGCATTAATCGGCGCCCTACGAGCAGTAGCACAAACCATTTCAAACGAAGTAACACTAGTTATAATTCTATTATCAGTTCTACTAGTAAGCGGATCCTTTTCACTATCAAACCTGATGATCACCCAAGAATACACCTGACTCCTATTCTCATCATGACCACAAGCCATAATGTGGTTTATTTCAACTCTAGCAGAAACAAACCGGGCTCCATTCAACCTAACAGAAGAGTGTAGGGGCAGGAAGAGCACAGTGCAGGTTTTCTAATCCAGCAGACTGGGTAAAGGAGGAGTCAGAGTCCTGGAGCCCTCAGTGGCTTTTGCAGCCTTTTATTGGGGTTTACCAGGTACACAGCAGCCAGGTACACTCTATCTGGGCTCTCCGGCGTTCTCTCTCTCTCTCTCTCTGTAGGGTAAGGTAAAAAATCAGGCTTTTCTGCCCACCCACCATCAGGATAGATGAAGGAACCCTGTGATCCTGAATGTATGCCTGATGGCGGGCACCTGAAGTGGGTACACCTGCGCTAAGACTGTGCTTTTTAAGGGCGGTGTCACGGGGACGCCAGCAGCAGCAGCAGAAGTCGAAAGAGAAGCCAGAGAGAAGCCGAGAGAGAAGCAAAGCAGAAGCAGAGAAGGCCAGAGAGCCCAGAGAGAGTGAAGATTTGCTGGGGGGCTGGGAAGACTGCCAGCCTCCCGGCCCCCCAGCACCCCTGCCTGCCATATGCCTGGTGAACCCCAATAAAAGACCTGCAAAAACCCACTAGGACTCTGACTCCTCCATTACCTGTTCTGCATGGGATCTCAGAAAACCTGCACTGTGCCCATTCCTAACCTCTACTCTCTCTCTCTCTCTCTCTCTCTCTCTCTCTCTCTCTCTCTCTCTTCTACCTACCTCTCAATTTTTTCTACATTTTACCTACCCTACAAAGGGGAATCAGAATTAGTGTCAGGATTCAACGTGGAATATGCAGCAGGCCCATTTGCTTTATTTTTCCTAACAGAATACACAAACATCATCATAATAAATGTCCTAACCACAATCTTATTTCTAGGATCATTTCACAACCCATATTTACCAGAACTATACTCAATCAACTTCATAATTAAAGCACTAATCCTAACCATCTCGTTCCTGTCAGTACGAGCCTCATACCCACGATTCTGATATGACCAACTAATACACCTGGCATGAAAAAAACTTCTTACCACTAACACTAGCACTGTGCATATGACACGTCTCCCTGCTAGTATTCTATCAGGAATCCCACCACAAACATAAGAAATGTGATAAAAGAGTTACTTTGATAGAGTGTAGGTGTAGGGTAAAGAAAATATCAGGCTTTTCTGCCCTTCCGCCATCAGGATAGATGATGGATCCTTGTCCTGAATGCATGCCTGATGGTGGGCACCTGGAATAGGGTGTGGGCATAGGTAGATGGGATTCAGCTGAGCTAAGACTGTGCTTTTAAGGGCGGCGTCACGGGGGGACGCAAAACAGCCCCAGCAGCAGCAGCAGAACCTGAAGGAGAAGCTGAAGCAGAAGCAGAGAACGCCAGAGAGCCCAGATAGAGTAAAGACTTGCTGGGGGCTGGGAGGCCTGCCAGCCTCCCAGCCCCCCAGCCAGCACCCCTGCCTGCCATATGCCTGGTGAACCCCAATAAAAAACCTGCAAAACTACTGAGAACTCTGACTCCTCCTTTACCCGGTCTGCATGGGATCAGAAAACCTGCCTTGTGCCCTGTCCTGCCCCTTACAATTGGCGTATGTCGGCAAGATCCATGCAGACGGGTATTGGAGCCCTCCGAAGACCTGGAGGGACTAAGGAGAACAGACTTTGCCTGTGACGACGCTGGAGGCACCATGGCGGTATAGAAGATGGATACGTCCACGAGCTATAGGATGAGACCTGGCGTGAAGGAGACGCCCGAAAGGACCAGCCAACGACACCGGAAAGGACCAGCCAACGACACCGGATAGGACCAGCCAACGACACCGGAAAGGACCAGCCAATGACCCCTGAGGCAGCAGGCCATTGCTGAAGCAGGGAGAGGCCAATGGACTGATAGACTGATGAACTGATGATTTTGGACTGACAATCCCGCCAGAAGGCGGAGGACCTTAGCAGGTTATGTTTATTTTTTGAGAATCTGGGGGTGGCCAGTGGGCCTAGATGGCCAAAAGCAGCCTGTGTATGCCCAGTGGCCAGGTGGAGGAGAAAAGCCAACTAAGGTGGCAAAAGCTGGTACTGATGCTAAGTTGAGAAGCCCTAAAGCGGCTGTTAAGCAGCCTGGGTATGCTGAAGCCCTGTGAGTCTCGTAAAATCACCTGTGGGTGATGCCCTGCTCATTCTTGAGTGAGGGTGAGGAGCTGAGGAGCCCGTCCTTGGGGGATGGGTGGGGAATGTGGCTTGGGGTGGAGCCCAAGCCAAATGCAAAGTTTGGATCCCCAACCCATGTGCTTGTGCAGTGGGTTGGCTTGAGAGCAGGGGTCTGTGAGTCGCATGGGTGGCCATGAAGGCCGAGTGTTGGAGCGACTGCAGACAGAAACCCTGAGGGTTGGCGATTACCCCCAACAGAATAAAATTGCCAATCCCAGAGCTAGTGCATCCTGGGGGTGGATGCTGTGTGTGCCTTGTAGCCGAGACCACAGCCAGAGAAGGCCAGGAAGCCTGACGGCTCCTGGTGTGTTATAGCAGATGCCGTGTGTGATTTCCCCTCCCTCGTATGAGCAGTGCCTTCGGCAGCAGATTTGGTGGCTCATCTGCTGGTACCAATAATTGTCTTTTGCACTTGGTTGGTGCCCTGCCTGGACTTATTTGTGTTCTGTTGTATTTTGTTATGTTGTATTTTGTTATTTGATGTATTTGCTTTTGTGGGCCATGGCTGCATTGTTTGTTTGCTTAGAAAATTGTGTATATATGTATAGACTGTATGGCAGAAAACCCTGAGGGGGTGGACTGTAGGGTAAAGAAAATATCAGGCTTTTCTGCCCTTCCGCCATCAGGATAGATGATGGATCCTTGTCCTGAATGCATGCCTGATGGTGGGCACCTGGAATAGGGTGTGGGCATAGGTAGATGGGATTCAGCTGAGCTAAGACTGTGCTTTTAAGGGCGGCGTCACGGGGGGACGCAAAACAGCCCCAGCAGCAGCAGCAGAACCTGAAGGAGAAGCTGAAGCAGAAGCAGAGAACGCCAGAGAGCCCAGATAGAGTAAAGACTTGCTGGGGGCTGGGAGGCCTGCCAGCCTCCCAGCCCCCCAGCCAGCACCCCTGCCTGCCATATGCCTGGTGAACCCCAATAAAAAACCTGCAAAACTACTGAGAACTCTGACTCCTCCTTTACCCGGTCTGCATGGGATCAGAAAACCTGCCTTGTGCCCTGTCCTGCCCCTTACAGTAGGGTAAGGAAAAATGTCAGGCTTTTCTGCCCTCCCGCCATCAGGATAGATGACGAACCCTGCAGTCCTGAATGCATGCCTGATGGCGGGCACCTGGAGTAGGGTGTGGGCATAGGTAGATGGATTCACCTGGGCTTTTAAGGGCGGCGTCATGGGGACACCAGAAGAAGCCGAAAGAGAAGCCGAGAGAGAAGCAAAGAAGCAGAAGCAGAGATCACCAGAGAGCCGAGATAGAGTGAGGACTTGCTGGGGTCTGGGAGGACTGCCAGCCTCCCGGCCCCCCAGCACCCCTACCTGCTGTGTACCAGGTAAATCCCAACAAAAGACCTGCAAAAGCCACTGAGAACTCTGACTCCTCCTTTACCCGGTATGCTGGATCAGGAAACCTGCACTGTGTCATTCCTTCCCCTACATAGAGTAAATCATAGAGGTTCAAGCCCTCTTATTTCTAGAATTACAGGACTTGAATCTGCTCCTAAGAACTCAAAAATCTTTGTGCTACCACATTACACCATATTCTATAGTAAGGTCAGCTTAATAAGCTATCAGGCCCACACCCCAAAAATGTTGGTTTATATCCTTCCCGTACTAATAAATCCACTAGTATTTTCCTTAATCTCATTCACCGTAGCACTAGGTACAACAATTGTACTAATAGTTCACATTGCTTAATCTGAATTGGATTTGAAATGAACATACTAGCAATTATCCCAATCCTAATTAAAAAATTTAACCCACTCTCAATAGAAGCAGCCACAAAATACTTAACACAAGTCACAGCCTCAATGCTACTAATACTAGCCATCATCATTAATCTGACATACTCAGGTCAATGAACTGCAATAAAAATAACAAACCATATCGCTTCCATAACAATAACAATCACCTCAATCATAAAACTAGGTATAGCCCCATTTCATTTCTGAGTACCTGAAGTAACACAAGGCGTACTCCTACTATCAGGAATAATTTTACTTACATGACAAAAAAATCTCCCCACTATCCGTACTAATACAGACCGCCTACTCAACACAAATCTTATATTAACAACAGCAATATTATCCATTGCTGTGGGAGGATGAAGAGGATTGATCCAAACACAACTACAGAAAATCATAGCATATTCATCTATCTCACACATAGGCTGAATAGCCGCTATCATAACCTACAACACCACAATAACCCTAAATCTAATAATCTACATTATACTAACACTCACAATATTTATACTACTACACATCATTTCATCCACAACTACCCTTTCACTATCCCATTTATGAAACAAAATGCCCCTAATAGTAACATTAATTCTACTATCAATACTATCACTAGGTGGACTACCACCCCTATCCAGATTTATACCAAAATGAATAATCATCAATGAACTTACCAAAAACAACAGCATCATCCTACCAACAATCATAGCAATCCTAGCACTACTAAACTTATACTTCTACATACGACTAACATATTTAACATCTCTTACAATATTTCTACCAACAAACAACATAAAAATGACATGACAATTCGAAAACATAAAAAAGACACCACTACTCCCACCACTAGTAATCTTATCAACTATACTGCTACCACTGACACCAATACTACTAGCACTAGAATAGGAGTTTAGGTTAAATCAGACCAAGGGCCTTCAGAGCCCTAAGTACAATTTACTTAACTCCTGAGAACTAAGGATTGCAAGACTCTATCCTGCATCAATTGAATGCAAATCAATTACTTTAATTAAGCTAAATCCTTACTAGATTGGAGGGCTTTGATCCCATGAAATTTTAGTTAACAGCTAAATACCCTAAACAGCTGGCTTCAATCTACTTCTCCTGCCTCAAGAGAAAAATAGGGAAGCAGGAGAAGCCCCGGCAGAATTGAAGCTGCTTCTTTGAATTTGCAATTCAATGTGAAATTTCACCACAAGTCTTGGTAAAAAGAGGGCTTAAACCTTTGTCTTTTGATTTACAGTCTAATGCTTACTCAGCCATTTTACCTATGTTCATCAACCATTGACTATTTTCAACAAACCACAAAGACATTGGCAAACCGTACTTATTATTCAGTGCCTGGGCTGGGGTAGCTGGCACAGCCCTGAATCTATTATTTCATGCTGAATTAGGACAACCAGTTACTCTCTTAGGAGACAACCAAATCTATAATGTAATTGTCACAGCCCACGCTTTCATAATAATCTTCTTCATGGTTATGCCAATCTTACTGGGTGGGTTCGGCAACTGACTAGTCCCACTAATAATTGGAGCACCTGATATGACATCACTGCGAATAAATAACATAAGCTTCTGACCTCTACCACCATCATTCCTACTATTATTAGCATCTTCTACAGTAGAGAGAGGGGCTGGCACAGGATGGACCGTATACCCTCCATTAGCCAGAAATTTAGCCCATGCCGGAGCTTCTGTAGACCTAGCTATTTTCTCTTTACACTTAGCAGGTGTTTCATCTATTTTAGGGGCAATTAACTTCATTACAACTATTATCAACATGAAACCCCGAGCAATGTCCCAATACTGCAGGGGGCCTTGCTGCCCCAGCCAGGTAAGACGCTGGCAAGCAGTTAAGGAAAGGGCCTCACACCGTGGGGCTGAAGATTCCTTGTGCCTCACACCGTGGGGATGAAGATTAATCTATAACCTATATATATCCCTTTGTTTTTTTGTTCTTGGTCATATAAGAAAAAACCTCTCAGAAAATACATTGGGCAATAAAGTATATGTATAAGAATATTATAAGCACATGGCATGGAGAATTAGCTGCTTAAAAATTAAACACTGTAAATTTGGCCTGCCTGACAATGGGAATGAGTTTGTTACACATGAACATGACTGACAAGCAATCCAGGACAATTATAGTAAGTCCTTCTTTTGATTTTTTTAGAAGTTTCTTAGAAAAGTTTTTAAATGAAGTTAATTGTGTTAAGAAGTTTCTAGGTAGGGGCCTCCCCTGGGGGCGCAGCAGTTGAGTGCTGGGCTGTGAGGCTGCCCTCAGCCTCTGTTCCCCCCGCAGCCAGCGAGGGTCCCACCAAAAAAAAAAAAAAAAAGAAGTTTCTAGGTAGAAAACCCTATTAGCTGATAACCAAAAAGCAGCTGGTCTCCGGCTGAAGGCGGTATGAATAGAAGAGTCTTGACGCTTAGGCTTTAGCTGATAGGGGTGTACTGGTGGCTATCAGCTGTCTTAGGTAATTGTCTAAACTGAAATAATTAGTTTTAGTGTTAGGTTTAGTTTTTTTATCTATTAACCTTAAAGGTTGCCTTCATGCTGAGAGCACATAGCAGCCAAAAGTCTATGGGAAAAGAATGCACTGATTGTTTCTGCTTTGCTTCTATGCATATGATGATGTCATCTCACTGCTTGCAAAAAATGAATAAATAAATACCTGCTGAGTCCCTCAGTAGAAGATATTTGCACCTCATCGAGTGTCAGTGTCTCTAAGCCATCCCTTTCCCCTAAGCCCTCAAGTTTCGCCTACACTGTCTCATCCTTTCAGGGACACCTGACATGACATTTAGCCAAGGTTGGTCGTCGGCACAATACCCAACACCACTACTTGTATGATCAATCCTAATTACTGCCGCACTACTACTACTATCCCTTCCAGTCTTGGCAGCGGGCATTACGATACTACTAACAGACCGAAACTTAAACACCACATTCTTTGATCCTGCCGGGGTTGGCGATCCAATTCTATATCAACACCTATTTTGATTCTTCGGACACCCAGAATTATATATTCTGATCTTGCCAGGATTCGGGATTATTTCACACATCGTCACATATTGCTCAGGACAAAAAGTACCATCTGGATACATGGGAATAGTCTGAGCTATAATGTCAATTGGGTTCTTAGGTTTTATCGTATAAGCCCACCACATGTTCACAGTAGGACTAGACATAGATACACGTGCATACTTTACATCAACAACTATAATTATTGCTATTCCTACTGGAGTAAAAGTATTTAGCTGACTAGCAACCCTGTATGGAGGTAACATCAAATGATCACCAGCTATACTACGAGCCCTTGGCTTTATTTTCCTATTTACAGTAGGAGGCTTAACAGGAATTGTCTTAGCTAATTCCTCACTAGACATTGTGCTACACGACACATATTATGTAGTAGCTCACTTCCACTATGTTCTGTCAATAGGAGCAGTATTTGCCATCATTGCAGGCTTTGTGCACTGATTCCCACTATTTACAGCTACACATTAAGTCAAACCTGAGCAAAAATCCACTTTGCCATTAAATTTTTAGGAGTAAACATAACATTCTTTCCTCAACATTTCCTAGGGCTGTCAGGTATACCTTGACACTGAGACACAGGGCAGGCTAGGAATTAGGCAGTTTCAGGGACACTGCAGGAGGGGACCTCGGAGAGTTGAGGAAGGCTTCAGAGATAAGGGCAGCAAGAGAAGTGTAACTAATTCCATCTGGAAATACAAACATCCCAGGACCAAGGACAACATTGTTAACGCTGGCCTTGGTTTCCTTCAGGTGGTAAAGGGAGGTAGAGATTGGGGAAATGGAGAGTGGTTTAATTTATGGACAGCTTAGAAGGGCAGCTGTTTTACTTCAATGCAGGGATGCCCATCCAGAGGACTGGGCCATAAAGATAAAGATGCAACAAATGGGGAAAGACAGACCTGCTAGATAAGGAATGTGAACATCCCCCACTCAGTAACAAGTTAAGTGAGACAGCCGAGAACTAACCAATCACAAAGAGACTGGTGGAGCTTTAGAATAATGAGGGAAAGAAGGTATATATTCCCTGAGACACGACTCCACTTTGGCTTCCTTGCCCCTTCCAGGCCTGGTTTCCTGGCCTGGGAGTCTCACTTTATTTCTGCTCTTTTTCTCCTCAATAAACTTTTTCTTTCTCTAAACAAACCTGCCTCTTCTCGCTTGCTTGCCTGAGAGTCTGTGAAGTTCCTGCTGCGGCTTCGTGAGACACCAACCCATGGGGGTCTAGTGGCTGGGGCTCAGCGCTGCCCTGCAGCCTGGGATCTGTTCCTGGCTGGGACACTAGGCCTGACAATTCCGGTATCAGCACTACTCAGACTACCCAGACGCATACACTACATGAAACACAGTATCGTCTATAGGATCATGCATCTCATTAACAGCAATTATGCTTATATTATTTATAATCTGAGAAGATTTCTCTTCAAAACAAGAAGTTTCCACTGTAGAACTAACAACAAACATCAAATGACTACACAGTTGTCCACCACCTTATCACACATTCGAAGAGCCTACCTATGTTAACCCAAAATAAATAAGGAAGGATTCGAACCCCCAAAGATTGGTTTCAATTAAGGTTCTTTTGTCATACTACATAAACTACCTCAACTTCTAGATATTTGTTAAACAGGTAAAAGAACTTTAAGGTACTGTGAATGGCCTGGATCATACAAATAGGGTGAGACAGAACTAAGACTATGCAGTAGTTTTCTTCACCCATAATGCAAAACATTTTTTTTAAGATTTATTTATGCATACAAGAGCTGGGGTACAGGCCAGAGGTGTGGGGGGTGAGAGGATTCACCAGAGACAGAGTGGGGAACAGAATAGGCAGATTGACCGAAGTATACTGCTGAGGGGAGCAGCAGGCAAGTCAGGAGAGCTCCTCTGCACCATGTGGTTTGGTTGCTCCCTGGCCTGCCTGGGGATCGAACTTGTGCTGCAGAGGCTGCGGGCAGCTTCATAGGTTGCATCTTAACCCCTTGCACCACCAAGGAGGCCTCCATAATCCAAAACTTTTACCATAGTATCAGGCAGGTAGTTTTGATAATTAGGAAGAATATGGTTTAAAGAATAGCAGCCATGAACAGGAACATAAAAAATGTTCATCACTAGGGAAATGCAAACCAAAACCACAATGAGGTATTGTGGTTTTTGGAGTCTGTGGGTTTGGAGTGCAGGGTCCTTGGGTTCACTCTGGGAAAGGTTTCACCAGAGCTCCCATTTCAGCGACACGCGGCAATTTCCCCAGGCAAGTTTTTCCACGAGACGAGACGGTAGTTACATTTAAAGGGCAGGTTTATTAGGGAAAGGGACAGAAGAGCAAAGTACATTTGCATAGACACAAGCGGGCAGGAAGAGCTGCCCTGAAAGGGACAGGTTTGCTGAGAGAGGCCTGCATTATTGCAGGGGGCAGCCTTGAGGAGAGCTGCCTCCACTGAGGGAGGTCAGTGAAGAGAAGTCCCGGCAGGTACAAGTCATAGGCAAGCAGGGAGGCTGCAGACCTGCAGAGGGAGAGAGCAGGTGAAAAGAGTCACCTGCGTAGTCACAAGTGGGCTGTGGGAGTGCTGCCCTGAGCCTGTGCAGACACTGCACTGATATAGTCTTCTGTTTGGGAGGGGCTCACTCCTTGTAAGCAGTCAGTTGGTTGCTAATTTTGGGTAACTCCCTAGAATTTGAAAGGGACTGGAGATTCTACAGTGGGCTCAATTTCCATATCTTTACCTTTGGATGTGCCTCTCCCTCTGATACCTCCTTGTATGTTATGCTTTGTAATCTAGGCATCTGCGCCTAAGTATACTAGTCTGCAAGCCTGTGGTCTGTGCCTAAGGATCTTCGTTTCCATAGCTGTGTCAATGGCTATGTTAATCTCCTCTACCCCACCTCCTAGTGTGAGCCAGGTTTCTGGTCTTGTGGCACACCTCCTTTTCAGTTTTTTGTTTTTTTTCTATTCCTGTCCTCCATTAGTATCATCTCACATGTATATAGAGTATATCAAAAAGACAAGGAGAAAAGGGAAACCTGGTGCGCCATTGATGGGAATGTGCATTTGTGCAGTCATTGTGGAAAACAGTGTGGCAATTTCTAAAGAAACTAAAAATGGAAATACCATACAATTCAGCTATTCCATTTCTGGGTATTTTCCTGAAGAATGCAAAACACTATTTCAAAAAGCTATAGGTACCCCTATATCCTTTGCAGCATTGTTTACAAAAACCACCATATGGAAACAAATTAAGTGCCCACCAATAGATGAATGGATTAAAAAAGATGTGGCATATGGAATGGAATACTACTCATCTATTAAAAGGACAAAATTTTTCTATGTGGAACAACACAGATGGACCTAGAGGGTCTTATGCTGAGTGAAATATGTCAGGTGGAGAAAGACATACTGTACAACTTCACTTACATGTAGAAAATAAAACAAATGAGAAAACAGAACAAGAACTGACACTTAGACTATAAGAACAAAGTGGTTACCAGAAGGGAGGAAGGAAGGGGATCAATTGTGTGGTGGTAGATGTAAACTAGACTTTTAATTGCAATTATATATGAAGAGGATTATACAGATGTTGAATTATAATGTTTCACATCTGAAACAAATAGGGTTTTTTTTATTAAACATTTTTATTTTCTTACATCGTTGCTCATTTTTGCACAATATTTGATTTCTCCTCTCAGGTGTAGTCCCCATAAATCTCCCACCACATCATCACCCATGAACCCTCACCATAGTCCCTTGTGTTATTCCCTCTCCTGTTATGACCCATCTCCCTCCCCTTGCCCTGCTGCATGCCTCAGATCTATGGTCTGCCTGCAAGTTTTGCAAGTTTTTTTTTTTTTTTCTGATCCCTTGTTTGGTTCCCTTATATTCCTCCTGTAAGTGAAACCATCCAATATTTTTCTTTTTCCTTCTCACTTACTTCACTGAACATAATCCCTGTTGCTACAAATGGCATGAGTTTATCCTTTGTGGTTACTGAGGAGTATTCCATTATGTATATATATATACATATATACCACATCTTCTTGATCCAGTTATCTGTTTTGGGACATTTAGGTTGTTTCCATATCTTAGCTATTATAAACAGTGCTGCAAAAATAAAAGGGAGCAGGTTTCCTTTTGAATTAGTGTTTTTGTGTCCTTCAAGTAGATTCCTAGGAGTGGAATTGCTGGGTCATATGGTAGCTCCATTTTTCGTAGTTTGAGGAACCTCCACACAGCTTTCCATGGTGATTGGACCAGTTTTGCAGTCCCACCAGCAGTATAAGAGGGTTCCTTTTTCTCCACATCCTTGACAGCATTTGTTGTTGCCAGTATTTTTTTTTTTTAAATATGGGTCATTCGGGCCTCCCCCTGTGGCGCAGCAGTTGAGCGTTGGGCTGCGAAGCTGCCCACAGCCTCTGCAGTGCCGGTTTGATCCCAGGCTGCCAGGCGAGGGTCCCACATGGTGTGCAGACCTCTCCTGCTGCCCGCTGCTCCCCTCAGCAGTGTATTTTGTCAGTCTGCCTATTCTGCTCCCCTCTCTGGCTCTGGTGAATTCTCTCACCCACCCGCGCTTCTGACTGTACCCAGTGCTTGTATAAATAAATAAATAAACCTTTTTTAAAATAAATAAATAAATAAATATGGGTCATTCACCAGTATTATCTCATTGTGGTTTCAACTTGAATTTCTGTGATAAGTGATGTTGAGCATTTTTTCATACACCTGTATGTAATCCATTTGCATTTTCTCTTTGGAGAAATGTCTTCTTAACTCTTCTGCCCATTTTTTGTCTGGGTTGTTTGCTTTGTTTTTGTTAAGTTGTCTGTGCTTTGGTAGATCTTTGGTATCAGTCCCTTATCTGTTGTATGGAAGGCAAATATT